CATTGCAGATGAATATTTATTGAACAATGCCTGGTTATCTTATTCTTGTTGTCCTTAAAAGGAATATACATAAATTATCAATTTCATTAGTCGATAGCCAACATTGTTTTGATTTTCAAATAAAAAGGGGTTATGTCCAGTTAATTGTCATTCAATTTTATTTTCGCGCCAGGCTCATTTCGAAGGATTAATTCCTTTAGTTTTCACTCCCTCTCTGTCTCTCTCTTACTGGAGGATTTCGTTTCTTTTATCTACCTGTTATCGAGTACCTATATCGATCAATTTGCTGGTACTTTGGTTTTGGTCGCGTAGGGTTGGGTTTTTCAATACATGTCGATATAATTGGCGTCGTGTCAGAGAAGGTGTGGACAATATTATTTAATAAGTGAAGTTATTTATAGATTTTAATGAGAATAGTGTTTTCCTGATTAGTGTGGATTGATTCGGTCCCATTTGTTGAGTCTCTTTGGAGGTTTCGCTGACGACTATCGATATCTTTGTCGTTATCTTTCAATCCTTCCTAAAGTGTGGAATGTGGAATTCGATAAAAAAAATGTAACATAAAAAAAAAGTTAGTGCGTAGAAATTTCTGGTTTAGGGTCCCAAAAATCGTACAACGGTCTCTTCTATTTCGTCCAGCGACTAGAACACTTTGGCTTTGGCCTGAAGAATAGTTTTTTTTTTATCCGGTTGACCATAAAGAAAATTAAGTGATTTTCTCTATTTAATTAGGATCCGGTCATCCAGATAATTTCAATTTTGGTTTTGCCAGTCTAGTTTTGGTTTTTGTTACCTTTTGGCAGCCAAATCACCTTTCTAAGGGATTTATCTATTTCTTCTAGTCGGTAAGTCCACCATTTTGTGAATTTGTTTTATTGTAAATTAATTAGTTCTATTCTCACAATAGAATATCACATCACGTCGCTTGGATTGAATTGTTTGAGCCTAGACTCTTAGAGCCTTGATTTTATTGTTGCTCGTTATTGTGAACTTCCAAATTGGATCAGCCAGCGTAGGTGAAATTAGAGTTCCATGACCTTCCGTTCACCTTCAAACTTTGAGCTGTGACCCTCAAAAATCCACGAGGTAATTATAATGACAATTTTCCATTTTAATGTTTTATTGGGGGACCATTCTATGCCGCATTGATTGGTAGACTTATAGTTTTTTATTTAAATATTTTTTTTTTGGCAATGCAACTTATTTGATGAATTGAACTCATTATATTTAGTAAATGAGATAGATCAACTTGGGAATTGAAATGTACAATTTCATATCCCAAGTGGCATAATTTCAATGGGGATTTAAGGGTAATTTATTTACTCATTGGTGCTTTCTTTAGGGTCTTATGGTACGGTTTTATGCTACCGTTTTCGATAACGCAACTCAGTGGATGTTTTGATGGTATGCAGTACCCACCACTGTATCTGAATAGCAAAGACTCGGCGAACTAGTTTTCATTGATGAGATAGATCATCTGGTACGAGTGTGAAATCCCAGACCCATTGTTAATTGTCGGCATAAAGCTAAGTAGTTTAGTGTAATTTTTTTTTATTAATTATTTAAAAATATCGCTGGCTTAGATAACTTTAGTTACTCACATTTAAGTAAACATTTGACCCCATTTATTTGCGGAGTGATCACTGACGCTGGGTGTGTGTTAATTCGCACTTATTGGTTATTTTAGTTTTAAGTATAGCTCTCTGCTTACATAGGTATTCATACATCTCAATACCGACAGACAGTTTTCTTAAATCTGACTATGAGGAAGCCTTTAGGTTCTTTATTCCTGCTAGTCGTCATACTAGCCTCTGAATACTTGTCATAATCATTATTTAATCACCATAACTTGTACTAAATCAATACTTAATATTCAATAAATACTGATTTTGTTGTATTGCCAATTACCTGCTTTCTTTGTCTTTTTGCTTATCCAATTATTTTCTTACATTTCAGGCATAATAATTTGGTTTGTACTTTAGTTCAACCTGCAGTCATCGCAGGACTTTTCCGATTTAGTTTCAAAAATTGGTGGCGCACGAATCCACGAACCGGGCACGTGGACACTTTAACAAACTCTGTTGAACTAAGGTCGCAATCCAAATATGGTTACATTTTGGTAATTGATTTTTCTTACGTAAAATAAAAGTGTTACAACTGGCGCCCAACGTGTTCTTTAAAAAAAGAAATAGGGGTTTCTTTATTTAGTCAAAGCTCAGTTAAAGTATGGTACAGTTGGTACCAAACTTTGTTTTTTTTGTAGATTTTTTTTTTGAAAAGAGAGAACTGTCTGATTGAAATTTGATAATTGGTATTAATTTTGTAACCGTCAATTAAAATTGGTATTCGCCTAACGCCTTTGTATAGCGTAAGTTGTTGCATCACACCGTTCACCATTTCAATAAAATTCAATTTTGGGGTTCATTAATTATTAATTAATTACATTTATTAAGGTATTTTTTTAAATTATTATTATTGCAATTGAATACTTCGTGATACAATTTTTTTTTGCTGCGATTCCTTGGGTGAGTTAACTTATCGAGACGACCGACACCGTTTTTAAAAACTTTATTCTAAAAATTAAAACTAATTGACAATCATATAGCTAAGTAAAAAGTGAACTAAAGTTCGATGGAAGCAATTTATATAAAGAAATTAGAGATGCTATGTCAGCGTTATATCGTCTTGGTTGGTGACATAACTCCTCCATCCTCGGATTCAACTAGGCCGTCTAGAGGGGTAGTTGAACAACTCGGGGGTCGATTCTTCCTTCGTCTTGTTCTGGATTTTTCTTTAAACATCTTGGTTGGATATACTTTTTGTAGGTCATTACCCCAAAACAGGTGATAAGAACCACATAAATGAACATGGTCCATATACTTGGGTAATGGTAGAGCTGAGGAGAGTGCAACTGAGGGTAGTTCGCTTGAATTTGCTTCTTTATGTCAACAAGGTCGTCTAGCTTGATTTCTTTGATATGCACTGATAAATCTAACTGATTCGGTGCAATTGGAATGTTCGGCCAGTCAGGAAATATTATTGGTTGAAGGGTTGCATTCGTCGATCGATTTCCATTTATTATTGTTTGATTATTGGTTTTGATCAAACAATCGTTAAGGATTTGGACAAGGTACGTTCCGTGTAGTCTTCGGATTTCTTCTTGCGCACTGCATTTAAGTTTGATGGTTTCTTCTTTTGGCATTACAAAAATCCATTGATTTGAATTTTCTAGTTGGTTGATTATTGGTCGGGTGATAATTACTTGTGTTTTTTGGCAAGTTGACGTCTGCGGATCTGCGTCTAATAGTGCAATTTCGCAAGAATTGTTGTCTTCGTTTTTCTGGAGCTCTTCTTGTTTACAAAGATAAAGATTGGTGGTTACCTTTGAGCAGGGCTGACCGTAGTACGCATGGTGCAATTCATTTTTTATTAAATAATTATTTCGCGTTAGAACAGCCCTAAACCAACTCTTATATATGACTGGTATGGAATACAAATGAAAATACTCGAATAATTTTGGGTAAGAAACAGGTATGCGAAGCAAGAAATTGATTTTATTATTAAGGA